CTACTTGAATTTGATGGAGTCGGTTAAAACAAAATAATCTAACAGAAATTAAAGGACTTAAAAAAGGGAAAATAATTTCTTATTTTATATTTTATGATGTTTATCATCTAATTAGAGGTGGTAAAAATTAATTTAACTTGTTAACTTGATTTTAACTCGAATGGGTTATGAATCATGTATAGATCAACTCATAAATTTATAGGTTGAATCATTTGATTTGTTTACTTTTAAAACTTTTTTTAATATTTTTATTAAATACTTTTTTAATACAAAATAACTTACAAATATAATTTTTTAAAAAATTTAATATGAAATTAAATTTTAAAAAATTAAATTATGATGCACCATTTTCTAATAAATAGGTAAAAAAATATATTTATTAGTAAAAAAATATATTCAAAGTAAATTTAATATATATTTATATAATATAGTTGAAAATAAATAACTTAACTAGATACATATTTTTTTTGTTTTAAGTCAACTTTTTTGTTTTGTTAAAAGAAAGATTTTAAGGTAAATCCTTTTCTTTTTATAATTGATGCTAATTCCTAATTTATGATGTCAATTCTTTTTTGTTTAAAGAATAACTTATATTAAATTGTGCCATATTAATTGTAGATTTATGTAAGTGTTGTAGGGTCATTTATACCTCAAATAATAATAGTTTTTTTTTGAAAAAACTAGAAGTAAATATGAAAATTGAGATTTAAAAATATGCTTATTTCATAATATTTAGTTTAAAATTACTATCATTTAATTTTGATAAATTAATATAAAAAACATTACTAATTGTATAAAAGAACAAAAAAAAATTCAACACTATGAGTCAACCTGTGACTAGTTAGGGTTGAGTTTTTATTAACTCAAAATCCACATATCACTCAATTCGTAAAACCCATCACTTGAATAAACTCAACCCAATCCACCCATTCGCCACCTATCTAACATATAAAAAATTTTCAATATTTATTAATTATTTAATTGAAAAATCTATTAAATCAATCCTAAATCCAATAATTTAATAAATAATAATTATTTTCACCTTTAAATTTTATTTTTCTATTTAAAATTTAAAATTAAAAGCATATTTAATTAATATTTTTAATTTGAAAAATAGATTAATAAAGAAAAACAAAAAATATTAGAAAATATTATTTTAATTTTATATTCTTTAAAATGTTAGTTTATCTAACCCAATTTAAGAACCGTGTAGGTGAGTCATGTATTTACCTTTTTTATCGCAACCTAAGTAGCTTAGATTTAGTTTGATAATATTGATCTTTTGTTGTAGATATAGATTTTTTTATCCTTTTAATATCCTAAAAATATATTTAATATATTTAATATT